TAGTTCCAGGACAGGCTCCAAAACCACAGAGAAACCCTGTCTCGAAAAACAAAAACAAAACAAAAACAAAAACAAAAAAAAAAAAAAAAAAAAAAAGAAATTGCCCCGGTACAGTTTAAATCTTTGGAGAGGTAGAGGGCGCAAGGCAGCTTAATTTCCCTCCTGTCTCTTGGTGCCTCCTCCCCCAGTCGAACCAGTGTCTGGGAGACAGGAGTCTCCTGCTGTGCTCTCTTGGAAAGTTGACACGGGCGTTTTTTTTTTTCCTGATGGGGGCGGGGAAACCGAAGGCACTGTGCCAGGATGGGAGGAGTGGTGGGGAAGCGCTTCGGGTGGGGAGTCGCAACTCTGGCGAGAAGTTGTGAGAAAATTGTGATCCGGAGACACCCTTTACCAACAAAAACAAATGACTTGGTGGGAATCGGCTGGGCTCCCGGGCAGCTGAGGGAGGGGTTGCATCTTGGTTGCAGGGGAGGGAGGCGTGCAGTGCATTAACAGTGTAACCTGGCTCCCAGACAGACATGCAGAGTTAGAGACACAGAAAAACAGAGAGAACTCAGCAGCTATAGAAGGGTCTTTGTAGCGACATCCCGGGGAGAGCACCCAGTCTCTGTAAGCTCCTAGTGCAGTTTTACAAGTCGATTCTAAGTGAAATCACTTCCAGAGAAGCTTATCAAGGTTTCAGCAAACTAAAGAGAGAGATAAAAAGGCACCAACCAACTAAGCCGGGTGGTGGTGGCACATGCCTGTAATCGCAACACTCTGGAGGCAGAAGCAGGTTGATCTCTGTGAGTTAGAGGCCAGTCTGTTCTATAAGAGCTAGTTTCAGGACAGCTAGGACTGTTACACAGAGAAACCCTGTCTCCAAAAACAAACAAAAAACAAATCAAAACAAAAAGACACCAACCTACTTTTGAAAAAAGACTCAGGGACTGGAGAGATGGCTCAGAGGTTAAGAACACTGATTGTTGTTCCTGAGGTCCTGAGCTCAACTCCTGGCAACCGTCTGTAAAGAAATCTGGTGCTGTCTTCTGGCCTGCAGGCACACATGCAGACAGAACACTGTAAACAAAATAAATAAAAAAAATTTTAAAGGAAAAAAAAAAGAAAAAGAAAAAAGACTCAGTTATCTAGAGAACAGAGAATTGTCATCTTACCAGGGTTATCCCCTGGAAAATTCTCTTGAGTCCAAAATGTGAATCAGATCATTTGGTTTATGAATACATAATTAAAACAAAAGGGTTTGGGCTTTATGTAAAAGATGTCTAGGGAGACAAGGAAGCCTGAGGCTTCCCTTAGGCCTGATGATGAAGATCATGCAGGCTCAGGGCTTCCATCCTCTGAGAAGAGCCAAACAGTAACTCATTCCTTAGAGGTGGATTTGCTTAGTCACTTATTTGTTTCAGTTATTTCTCCAGTGGTCTAAAGAGGCAGATCATAATATTTTAGATTACAAATATTTTACTTCAGTCCTCCCTCATAATGACTTCCTAAGAATCTCCCAGTGAATGGTGAACACTCCCTTTGCAAACACTTACCAGTCACCTTTGAGAATTATGGTGACCGGAATTCAAGAACATTCATTGTGCATTGTGTATCTTCTCCCTTACTCACCAATTTTATAATCAGAGGTTAGAGGGCCATGAAATGTGATCACGGATGTTTAAAAATCCTGCTCAACACATTGTTGACAAATCTCATCCATCCAGTAACTAGTTATGTAGCTTTTGAAATGTCTCTTGGCCTCTGAATTTCGTGCTTGCAAGGACAAGGCCTTCCTTGCAGATTTGGCTAGGATCAAGTATGATAAGGAACATGAAGGCATGTTTTAAACAGGGAGACAGGACCAAGGCCCTCCCCACTATATCTAGACTGAGCAAGGTATCCCTCCAAAGAGAATGGACTCAAACAAGCCAATCCAAGCAGTAGGGATAAACCCTGGTCCCACTGTCAGTGGCCCCGCAGACTGTCCCAGTCATACAACTGTGACCCACATTCAGAGGGCCTAGTTTGGTCCTATGCTGGCTCCCCTGCTTTGAATTTGAAGTCAATGAGCTCCCTTAGCTCAGGTAAGCTGTTGCAGTGGGTTTCTCCATCATGGTCTTGAGCCATTTGCCCATATTACCGCTTCTCCCTCTCTTTGAGTGGACTTTGGGAGCTCTGCCTATTACTTCACTGTGGATCTCTGCATCTGCTTCCATTAGTTACTGGATGAAGTTTCTATGATGACAGTTAGGGTAGTCATCGATCTGATTACAGGGAAACCAGTTCAGGCACCCTCTCCACTATTGCTTAGGGTCTTAGCTGGGGCCATTCTTGAGGGTTCCTGGGGATTTCCTTAGCATCAGGTTTCTCCCTAGTCTCACAATGACTCCCTCTCTTTCATTGCTTTCCCACTCCATCCCTCCCTCAACTTGACTATCCTGTTCCCTCATGATCTCATCCCCAATCCTCTCCACTTTACTGCCCCCACCCCCAGCTTACCCAGAAGATCTCATCTATTTCCCCTTCCCAGCGTGATCCATGTGTCCCTCTTAGAGTCCTCCTGTTTCCTAGCTTCTCTGGTGCTATGGATTATGGTCTGGTAATGCTTAGGTTTACGTCTAGTATCCACTTATGAGTGAGATACCTTGTTTATCTTTCTGAGTCAGGATGTTTTTTTGCTGGTTCCATCAGTTTTCCTGCAAATTTCATGATGTCATAGTTTTTTACTGCTGAGGAATAATGCATTGTGTAAAAGTACCACATTTTCTTCATTTGTTCTTCGGTTGATGGGCATCTAGGTCGCTTCCAGGTCCAAGAAAGAATTTTAAAAAACACTTACACAAAACAAAGAAAAATGCTTTATTTTCAACCAAATATCACACAGTGAGAAAATTTTGTGTGCTGGGGATGGGGGGTATTTGTACAATATACTCCAGGTTCCCAGCTTTTCTGAGCTGTTATCCATGCTGGCGTGGACGTTGTGGTGCAGAGTCATTTCTGCTCCTTGTAAGTAATCCTTCACCTAGATTCCTGTAAGTATTCCCCCACTAAAACTAGCGGTTCACCAAATTGGACTTTGATGGTATCCCTGCTTTGGTCTGTCGTGGGTGAGTAGATGTGTATGTTGTGTCTGCACAGGAAAACTTTGTCACATAGCATCAATACTTTTAATATTTAATATGTTTGGAATTAAAAACAGTTTGAAAAAACAGTTTGAAAGTCTCATATTCTTATTTATTTACTTATTGTAGATTTATTCATGTTATTTTTTGTGTTTTTTTTTTTTGCCCTCATATATGTCTATGCTGGGTGCCTACAGAGATCAGAAGTGAGAATCAGAGTTACAGATAGCTGTAAACCACCATATGGGTGCCAAGAATCAAACCCAGGTCCTCTGCAAGAGTAGCCAGTGCAACTGATCATGGAGCCATCTCTCCAGCCCATCGTTTATTTTGAATAAAGTTTCAGGTACTGGCATAAGAACAGATAGGAGGACCAATGGAACCAAAGAGAAGATTCGGATATCAATCCACACATCTTCGAACACCTGATATTTGATAAAGAAGCAAAAAATATCAAATGGAAAAAAGAAATCATATTTAACAAGTGGTTCTGGCATAACTGGATATCAACATGTAGAAGAATGAAAATAGACCCATATCTATTACCATGCACAAAACTCAACTCCAAATGGATCAAAGACCTCAACATAAAGCCAGCCACACTGAACCTTATAGATTCATTATATAATTCTTTAAACTTTACTATGTTTTGAGTTTTCATAATAGAATATCAGGAAATAGATAAAAAATTGTCAGGAAAATACTAGGCTCTGCTGGGAAGTACATTTTCTTTCTGGGGAATTCCAAATGCCCAACGGACAATGCTTATTGCAGCAGAAGGTGGCCTTCAGGCCTACAGACCACTTGGGATAGAGAGAACCTTCTGCTGGGTCTCTTGGATTCCATTTCTTTTCTTTGTTTTAGTTTTGAGGCAGGTTCTTGCCCCCAAAGTCCAGACTGGCCTTGAACTCAAGATCTTTCTGCCTATGCCTCTCAAATGTTGCATTTACAGGTACAAGCCATGCCACCTGGCTAGATCAGGCTCTTTAGATTATGTGAGCTTTTTGTTCACCCAATTTTTCTCCAGTGAGTTTTAGCTAGTTTTTCTGCCTATCCTAAAATCTGGCACTGTGCCTGGAGTGGACCCCACCTTGCCACCCGTGACTCTTGGGAGGAAGAGTAGATTAAGATGCTTCAGAACTTGCGAGACACCTGATCCTAAGCAGTTGATCATATTTGTTCTGGGTCTGAAGTTTACATGATAAAGAACAGAGGGAGGGCTTGATATGATATAAAAAGATCTGGAAATTACTGGAGCATCATTTTGCATCTGAAACTCCAGGTAAGGAGTGAGTTTGGGGAGAGCGGATACTAAAATCTTTGCCCGAGAAGAGAATGCCTAGATTGTGGCAGGGGAGACTTGAATATTGGCACCTGGACCTCAGCTAGTTTCACAGGGTCTTTGAGTTATAGCTAAAGGGATGAGGATACCATGGATGCTCAGGGTGGGTAAACAGCAAGATCTGACTGCTAGAGGAGGGATTATGACAACTGGATGCTTTGGATCTAATGTCTTGAGTTTGTCCCCAGTTATGTGACCTCCCAGACTATCCCAGCAGCACCAGAACTGCTTGGACAATGATGTTGGCACAGTCTTTTCTGTCACTCCCTTTGTCCTCCTGGGTGACACAGAGGTACCTCTAAATGCTCTTTCCCCTGACTCAACAGTAGGATAAGGGTAGGGAGTTAACTTCTGCTCCTCACATGCCTTATCAGCCGGGCTAATCTCACACAAGCAAGTTTGGCTCAGATTCTTGGTTTGGTGAACTTCAGCATCTCCATGCCTTAGAAATGGCCTCTGCCTCCTCTTCTGAGGACTTTCCTGCTGTGTGCCAGGATGGGACGAGGTTCAACTCAGATAATCCAACAGAAAATCATGATTGATCTTTTGGATTGGGAAAAGAACATAAGCTACAACCAGACCAGAGGAATTAGGGACTCAGAAGACAGCATCAGGAAGGAGCAAGACTATCAGTGAACAGTCTCCTCTGAGCTCAAGGCTGCATCTACTAGATCTACACTGAAAAATTGAAAAGCCTAGGTCTATGTGCAAAGCCGGGGAATTGATAAGCTTTCTTCTTTTCCCTTCTTCACATTCCAGCCTCAGAATGTTGGCCATTGCTCTCCTAGCCTTTCTCTGTGTGTCAGCCTCTGCCAATAAAAGTAAGTGAGATGCCTGGTCGTGGGATCCTGGGAAGAATGACTCTTGCAATGCTGTTAGTCAGGGCTTTTAGACACTGGCTTGGAGTGGTGGGGAGAATAAAGATGTTAGGGAACAGCTGGGTTCCTGGGCTGTGTCTACCTCCAACTCCTCTTCCCCTCCAGTTCAGGCCAAGTCCTCCTCTTATAATGGGGAATATGGAGGTGTTGCAGGAAGACGATTCTCTCATTCTGGCAACCAGCTGGAAGGTCCCATTACTGCCATCCGTATTCGAACTAACACACACTACATCATAGGGTAAGAGTCTTCAAGTTCCTGTGGTTTGGGGCCTATGGAGGGTCATAGTAAACTGAGTTCTTATTTACCTTGAATCATGCTTCTTTAAATCAAGTCACAGGTAATACATGAGCTGGTAAAATGTTGGAGGACCTAGTTTCTGGATCTGTGGGTTTGTTTTTTAACTTCACTTCCTCCAGTGTGGCTGAAGTTGGAAAATCATGTAATCCTAAACTCTCAGGGACCACAAACTGAACACATTGATTTTTCTCTCTTGTCTGTCTTTGCTTGTTGTCTCTCCTGAGATAGTTTTTTCCGTCCCTGTTGTTGGCTAAAGTTCTCAGCATGATCTTCTAGGGTTCTGTTGGCTAATGCTCTCAGTATGACCTTCTAGGGTTCATTCATCATTCATATCCAAGGTGTGGGTGTTGCGGGGGACTTGTCTTCTCTGTTACCTCTTTAAAAGTCTCAGCATATAGACCAGGATGTCCTGAATTTTGATAACCTTGTTCAGTGTTTCCCTACCCTTGCTTCTCACCTCTGCCTCCAGTCTCCAGGTACGCTATGGCAGGACATGGAGTGACAATGTAGGTGGCACACATGGAGACTTGGAAGAGATCTTTCTGTATCCTGGGGAATCAGTGATTCAGGTGTCCGGCAAATACAAGCACTATCTGAGGAAGCTGGTCTTCGTCACAAGCAAGGGCCGCCGCCTGTCTTTCGGAGGAAAAGAAGGCATAAGTTTCAATGCTGTTCCCTTGCATCCTAACACCGTCCTTCGCTACATCAGTGGCAGAGCTACCAACTACATCACTGCCATTGGCCTGCACTGGGGTCCCTACCCTGGTAACCAGAACAACTGCTGAAGCTTCAGCTTCTCGTTTGCCAGGGACATTGTGTAAGAATTCCCTTATCACCAACCCCTATGCAAGCAACTTAATAAATGAGCATGGCTAAATACAGTGTCTTGTTTGTCTCCTAATTCCAGTAGAAATACATGGCTCTTATTTCTGGCTCTCTATGCATGTTAATCTTGGGAAAGTGAGAGGGTAAGAATAGAAGCCTGGCTTGCTTTTATAGATATAATTGGAGATAAAATAACAGCTACATGTATAAAATTATCAAGTGATTAAAAAAGGAAGAGATGAAGAAATGGCTTAATAGTTAGGAGTACTTGTTCTTTAAGAGGACCTGGGTTCGTTTCCCAGTATCCTCATGGTGGCTCACACCACCTGAAATTCCAGTTCCAGGGAGCCATTCCTGGGCTCCAGGCATGGACACAGTGCACTTACACACATAGAGTCAAAACACTCATACAAGTAAAATAAAAATGTCTAGCAAAAAACCCTGAAGCCTTTCTTAGACTGTTTTAGTCCTGTTACAGCCTAGAGTATAAATCCTCAAGTAATTGTTGATGTGATAACTGTCTTCTAGAACAACCCAATATTGACCCTAATGTTGGAAACATTAGTGTAGTAGTAAAATATATTTCATTTAAAAATACACGAAATAACTGGGTTCACCCTGGTGGATTCCTGGGAATTTCACCAGTACCAGGTTTCTCCTTAATCTCACAATGGCTCCCTCTATCAAGATATCTCTTTCATGGCTCTCCCTCTCAGTCCCTCCCCCAAATGGACCATCCCATTCCCTCATGTTCTCATCCCCCATCCTGTTTCTTTCACCGTCCTTCCCTGGCCCCAGTTTACCCAGGAAATTTCATCTAATTCCCTTTCCTATGGCAAGCACTGCATCCCTCTTAGTGTCCTCCTGTTACCTAGCTTCTCTGGAGCTGTGGACTGTAGGCTGGTTAGCCTTTCCTTTACATCTGGTATCCACTTATGAGTGAGTACATACCATGTTTGTCTTTCTGAGTCTGGGTTACTTCACTCAGGATGTTTTTGTTGTTGTTGTTCTATCCATTTGCCTGGAATTTTCATTGTTTTATTTTTTTTGTTTGTTTTAACAGTTAGTACTCCATTGTGTAAATGTACCACATTTTCTTTATCCATTCTTCAGTTGCAGGGCATCTAGGTTGATTCCAGGTTCTGATTATTATGAATAATGCTGCTATGAACATCATTGTTCAAGTGTCCTTTGGGCATCCTTTAGGTATATACCCAAAAGTGGTAATGCTGGGTCTTGAGGTAGGTTGATTTCCAATTTTCTAAGAAACCAGCATACTGATTTCCAAAGTGGCTGTACAAGTTTGTACTCCCACAGCAGTGGAAAGGTGTTTCCCCTTACTCCACATCCTCTCCAATATAAGATGTCCTCAGTACTTTTGATCTTAGCCGTTCTGACAGGCATAAGATGCTAAGACTCCTAGCAATAGTAGAAATGGTGCCTGAACTGACCATTCCCTGTAATCAGATTGGTGAATACCCCAATTGTCATCATAGAACCTTCATCCCATAATTGATGGAACCAGATGCAGAGATACACAACCAAGCACCAGGCTAAGCTCTAGGAATCCAGTCGAAGAGAGGGAGGAGGGAGTATGTGAGCAAGGGAGGACAAGATCATGAGGGGCAAAACTACAGAGACAGCTGAACCAAGCTTGTGGGAACTCATGAACTCTACATCAACAGCTTTGGAGCCCTCATGGGACCAAGCTAGGCTCTCTGCATGTGGGAGACAATTGTGCAGCTTGGTCTATGTGAGAGGCCCCTGCCAGTAGAACCAGGAACTATCCCTAGTGTATGAGCTGACTTGTCGGAGCACATTCTCTTTGGTGGGATGCCATCAGTGTTAATGCAGGGGTAGGGGCTTGGTCCTGCCTCCACTTAAAGGGCCAAGCTTTGTTGACTGCCCATGGGAATCCTTACCCTTTGGGAGAAGTGAGTGGGAGATGGGTTAGGGGAGGGTGGGAGGAGAGCTGGGAGGGAGAACTGTGATTGGAATGTAAAATGAAATGAAGATAAGTAATAAATACATAAATAAATGTTTACTTAAAATGCACCAAATAAGAATTTGACCAGTGTGTTTTGGGTGCTCTCATCTGATTGATTCAGTGATATGCCATTGAGAGATGAGTTGGCCTCTGAGCAATGTCAACAGTTGCTGCTGACCCATATCCATGCAGTTATGTACTTGTGGCTGCCAGTCTTGTGCAAGTCTTTCTCAATGCTGTGTTGCATAATACAGTCTCAGGGAGACAAATGCAGCTGGCTCTGGGTAGAGCTTTGTCTGTAACATTTTTCCATTGATAGACCGTAGAAGAATCTTTTGCTTTTCAAAGGTCACTATATTTTAACTATGGTTCCATTATATTTTCCTAAATGTGCACTGAGTTTTTCCCTCTTTGCCCAGGCTGTGGGTGCACCGAACACTTTTGTTGCTGCTGTATATGAGCATGCTGTTATATTGCCAAACAAAACAGAAACACCTGTTTCGGTGGAAAAGGCTTTGTTCCTGATGAACAAGAACATAGACATTTTGGAGAAAGCAATAAAGCTGGCAGCCAAGCAGGTATCACAGTTTTGTTCATGTCTGGGATGGTATACAGATTTGCGACTAGACAAGCATGTGGGTATTTAGAACCAGGAGAAACTTTTTCTTTCCATACTTGCTTCTAACAGGGTGTACATATCATTGTGACCCCAGAAGATGGAAACTATGGGTTGGATCTTCACCAGGGAAAACATTTACCCCTACCTGGAGGATATACCAGATCCTGAAGTGAACTGGGTTTCCTGTAGAGACCCCAAGATGTAAGATCTTGTCAAAGAGTAATGACTCTTGCACTAAAGAGGTTTTGATGTGAGATAGAACAGCAAAGTCACCGAGCTTGGCTTGTCATCTTTCTGATGACCAGACAGTCAGTGGCATGGGACTTTAATGGTTTATATTGTATTTCCTACTCAACGTGTCTCCCATCTGAAGAATGACTTTAGATGAGAAAGCTTGGTTTGTTACTCATGGCAGCTGTCTTTAAAACCTAGCCCTTGAACACACTGTTTCCAACAAGTGTGTTCTACTGAGTTTCAGCCAAGTAAGACTGTTTTCTTTGGATCCTGTGATTGCAACTGCAAGCCAGTCAGTTGATGCAGGAATACCTCCTGTGTTTCTAAAACTGCGCTGTCACCACAATTTCACAGTCAATAAGGTTCACAGAAGTTCCATAGGGTTTCAGACAGAAAGCTCTCTTTCCGAGTCCCCATCTTACCACCTCCCAGCTCAATGGTGCAGGGTGCATCACATCTTTATTTCCCTTATGGAGTACAGAAAAGTGTCAAATGAAACGGCGTGTGTGACATCTTACCCTGCAGCACCCTCTTCACTGTCCCCTGTCACAAGATCTCTTTTTGACAGGACAAATGGCCTGTAAACTACTCTGAACTCTTGCCCTTAGAAAGGTTTTAGCACTTATCAATAACTGTGGTTTAAGCACAACGTTCTTGAAAGAAATATGTATGTGTGTGTGCGCTAGAGTGTGTGTGTAATTATGTAAACTATTAAAAGAAAGATGAAATAGATTATTTTAGGTGTGATTATGTACCTTTTAGCATTGTTCATAGGTAATTTCTTTAAGTGAAGAAATCTGAAAAGGGCTTTCTGTTGTTAATTTTATATCTTCATGCACCTGCTGAGACTCATACCTATTGCCTTCAAGGAAAGCTCTTTTTAAAAAATAAATTCTTGTCACATGACATCAGCTGAAAAATAAGTCCAATGCTCCCCTATTTGAGCTTCACTATTTAAGTCTCAACCTGAGACTTCCACTGTTGGGAAAGTGTTTTCTAAATGTTATATAACCTGTGGGCAGAAAGCATGGAATAGTGACTCAAGGTCATCTTGTCAAAAGCTTTTCCTAGGAAAGGAAGCAATCATTACTTGCTGTAATTCTAGAGGTTTATATTAAACTATGCTTCATGTGACAATTCCATTACAGCTGACTCTCCTAGGAGAAGGGGCTCAAAAGTCTGGTCATTATGCTTACTTGAACTCTGTTAGCTTGGGAAGGCAAATAACTCATGAAATTTTGACACGGAATTATTCCAGTGACAAAGATTCAGCTTTGTGAAACTGAAGGGGGAATCAAGCTGGGCCTAGGAGCTCATGCGTATAACCCCAGCACTCAGGAAACTGAGGTGGGAGAAACTGCTTCATGAGCTTCAAGGCTGCCTGGGTTACACAGTAAAACTTGACTTAAAGCAAAGCAAAACAACAGTCACAAAACGGAACAATTATTCTAGGGACTCTGGTGCCCTCTTCTGACTTTCTCAGACACTGCATGTACATGGTGCAAGTGCAGGCCAAACAATCATATACATAAAGTAAAAATTAAGCTGGAAACATGACTTAGTGGTTTAGAGCACTTGCTGCTCTTACAGAGAACCCGGGTTTGATTCTTAATACCCATATGGTGGCCCATGCGGATAGGTAACTCCATTTCTAAGGGATCTGTGTTGAACCCCCTCTTCCGACCTCCACAGGCACCAAATGTGCTCACAGTGAACACATGCTGGTCAAATGCTGGTCAAACATTCATATACATAAAACCAATAAGTAAATTAAAAAGTAATGATACATTTTAAAGAGTTAGGAATACAGATCACAGGTAGAGGCTTTGTCTAGCATTCACTGTGCCCTGAGTTCAGTGCTCAGGATGAGTGGGAAGCACTGCAAAGAGAGCTTACTTCGTGGGAGCGGTGAGAAGTTGCTTTAGTGCTAGCAATAGTTGTGCAGTGGTTCACGAGTTTTAAGAGAGATCACTAGCCACATTCTCACCCCTTCCCTCCATAATTAGAGCAAAGTTAGAAAGTTGGGTCTTCTATCATCAAATCATGTGTGCATTATACCTCCCAATATTGCTTTGGGAGGAATGTTTCTAGAAGAAGATGTCGCTGGAAACTGAGCTTTGCATTGGAGTTAATCCTTTGCTGTCTTTCATCAGGTTATGAGAGATGGACGTCTCAGGAGCCGAGGTGGAGCCCCTTTTCTTGTCCTGGTGATGGCCCTATATGGAAGAGTGTTTGAGAAGGACCCTCCACGCTTAGGGCAGGGACCTGGGAAGATACAATGAACCCCTTCATTGTGACCTGTCAGAATTAGCCTGGCAAAGAGAGGGGGCATAAATCAAAGAGTATTTATGTAGTTTTTTTTTCCTAGAAGATACAATGTAAGCTGTTGAAAGGGCAAACCAAATGAAGAAATAAAACAATAAAATAAAAAGCACTTGGTATGCTATGGCCTGGATATGGTTTGTTCGCTCCAAAATTTATACTCAAATTTAATTTCCATCGTGAAGTATTAAGAGAGTGGACCACTTAATTCAGCCACGGTTTTCAGAAGTGAGCTTTTAGGAAATGAGAAGTATTGCCTAAATAACCAGGGTATGTAGTGATATATGTTTGAATACTGTGGCTTTATAGATATGTGTGGGAGTGTGTGTAGCACACAGAAGCACTGTTTCCTACCACGCGCTGTCTTACACCACTTTGGAACTCTGTTAAGAAGAAGGTATTACCATATGTGAGGCCCTTGTCCTGGAACTAGAACCATGAGCCAATGTCATGGTTCTTTATAAGGTACCCAATATGCAATATCGTGCTGTTAGCAAATGAAAACTGGCTACCATAAGGCATGCACATCCTTGGGATAGTGTAAATGTGTTAGCTGGAGCTGCATCCAGCTTTTTTTTCAGCTTTCTTATATGTGTCCAGATATATGTAAGTATGTGATGCAGAAGGTGTACTTTAGTGAGAGCAGGGCTTCTTTTCAGGAACTGCTCTGCTGTATCCAAACAATGATTTCACCAGATGAAGATTCGCTTCATGTACTAACTCCATTAGACGCAGATGTTCAGTTGACTGGTTAAACATTTCTGAGTATGTGATGGGGCATTTCTGACAGATTAAAATTGGTGTGCTGACCTTAGTTGAGAAAAGGCCCAGACAGACAGGCGTGGAGAGCAGGAGGGATAGACACTCACGGGCCAAAGGTTATAAGCTCTATGAAGCTGACTCAGGCTTCTGAGAGCCCCACCTTTGGTGTCTGGGAATAGAGCTCATCAGCTGAGAATAAACCTGAAGTTCGATGGTCTGAGCGAGAGGTTGGCATATGGATTAAATTCTGGAGTTGTCTGTCAGTTACTTACCAGAGCCCATTTAATTTTGTCTATGTATTTTCCCACTATTGGACAGTCTATATTCTTGCCTTAGGTCTAGCTATTTTTTCTTGTTTCCTTCTGTTTCATATCTGTAGATTTAATAGTATCTTGGTTTTATTTTATGGGTTTCTTGCAAGAGACTATCATAGCTAGGCATGGTGGTGGTATTGGGATTTCTATTTCTCTGAAGAGACACCATGACCACGCAACTCTTATAACGGAAAACATTGAATTGGGGCTGGCATATTTCCTTGTCATCATAGTGGGAAGCATGGTGGCATACAGGCATATATGGTTCTAGATACGTGAAAACTAAAAATCAACAAAGAATCCTTAGAGCGAAAGTACACTGCATACTATGGGGATTTAACAGATAGTTACAGAATATTACAGATTATATACGGACTACTTGTTATAGGCTATTTCATTCAATGGATAAAAATCCATGGAGCCTCCCCTAAAAAAAAGAGCATATTTAAGGGACAATTAAAGTCTCAACAGATATGAAGGAATTAAAACTATCTCTTGAATCTTGTCAGAATACAGGACAATGAAAATTACTAGTAAAACTACAGAGCTAAAAATTATCAGTAAAACCAAAGAAACTATACCAATACAGAGAGAACAATCTTTAGAAGATTTCTAAAAGTTTTAATGTGCTTGAATGCTTTTCCTGCATGTGTTTGTGTGTGCCATGTCTATGCCTGGTACCTTTGAAGGCCAGAAGAAGGCATCAGACATTTGGAACTAGAATTAAGGATGGTTGTAAGCCACTGGGTGGATGCTGGGAACTGAACCTGGATCCTCTGCAAGAGCAGCCAGTGTTCTTATCTGCTGAGCCGTCTCGCTAGCATGAACAATAAACTCTTTTTTATTTATTTATTTATTTATTTATTTATTTATTTATTTATTTATTTACTAAAGATTTCTGCCTCCTCCCGGCCACCATCTCCCATTTCCCTCCACCTCCCCCAATCAAGTCCCCCTCCCTCGTCAGCCCAAAGAGCAATCAGGGTTCCCTGCCCTCTGGGAAGTCCAAGGACGACCCACCTCCATCGAGGTCTAGTAAGGTGAGCATCCAAACTGCCTAGGTTCCCACAAAGCCAGTACATGCAGTAGGATCAAAAACCCATTGCCATTGTTCTTGAGTTCTCAGTAGTCCTCATTGTCTGCTATGTCCAGCGAGTCCAGTTTTATCCCATGCTTTTTCAGACCCAGGCCAGCTGGCCTTGGTGAGTTCCCGATCGAACATCCCCATTGTCTCAGTGTGTGGGTGCACCCCTCGCGGTCCTGAGTTCCTTGCTCGTGCTCTCTCTCCATCTGCTCCTGATTTGGACCTTGAGATTTCAGCCCGGTGCTCCAAAGTGGGTCTCTGTCTCTGTCTCCTTTCATCGCCTGATGAAGGTTAATATTCAGGAGGATGCCTATATGTTTTTCTTTGGGTTCACCTTCTTATTTAGCTTCTCTAGGAT